ACGGTTTAGGAGCTTGAAAAAAAGAGCTATTCTAGTGTTCATAGTAGTATCTGCTTAGCTTGAATGAGCAACAGTTGAATGTTTTTTGGGATATAGAAAGTATTCACGTTTTTGGTGGAATTTGTGATTGAATTCACTTTTAATCTTTTAAATGTTCCGTGCAATTCTTGGTTAACATCGAGGGGCTCATTTTATCTTGGACTCCACCTTCCTATCTTTTCTTTTCTTTTTCTTTAGAATTACAATCTCCTATCTTAATCCCTTATGAATGACAAAAGTTTCATCCTTGGTAATTACCATCCGATTCGTTTACTGCAGCTTCCGAGTATGGAGCCCCCCCCACCCTTCGTTTCATATAATTTTGATTTATTTATATATTTAGAAAGATAAGTTTGTATTCATATTTCACATCCATAATCCATCTGAGACAAGACATCCATAGAGATAAAGAAGTTCTATACATAATAAAAAATCTAACAAAAAATAGAGAAATAAAAGACTCAACGCTAAGTGAGATAAAGAGAATGCTGAATGCCCTTTTGTCAAAACATTTAATGATACCACCTTAAAGAACAAGCAGCCACAGGCCACAGAGATGGAGAAGAAAGAGAGACTAATATCACATTTGAAAGAAACATGGATTATTCTTGGAAATAAGAGGCAAAACGTGGAAAACTGGACCTTTGCCTGGAACTTGCTTACTTGCTTTTAGGTTATTATTAGGCTACTTTGCTAGACTCTATCTACTTGGTTTACAAGGGAATCGATATTTCATACTTAGAAAAGAGCCATGTTCAATTTTTGGAGAATGCATCCAGTTTCTCTCTCTCTTTTTTCTCGCTCATGTAAAGGCCGGTACCATATACTTTTGAGGTGCTATAGTCAGGGCACATAATGAGCACTAAAGTTTTTTTTTTTTGGTGGGGGGGGGGGGGGGGGGTGTTGCTGGGGCCACCCCTAGTCGACTCATAGCATCTCCCATGTTTAGTGAGTTACAACTACTTCATTAGCTGAATTGTAAAAATGGAGTCCATTATCAAACAATTATGGTCTACACGGAGTTGGTCCTTCTGCGATTTAATAATCCCAACTCTTTAAAATCCTGTGTAATTGCCGGCGTCTCCCATTTCAATGGCACCATTCTTGCTTTTATATCTAAGGTCTTATGTTGTTGTCAGTCAATGCTTTTAAGTGATAGGCTCATGATGCCACGCAAAAGCTGTGTTAATTTAATGTGTAATGTTATCTAATGTTAACTTTTATGTTCCTGTGCTTAGCTTGTCCCCTCTAGGGCGATCTTTTTAGTATGTGTTAAAAATTAAAATGTTTGCTTGAATTGCCTGTGAAGGTTTGGGATATTTCCGTCATGGGGCCTCTCGCAGAAGCTTTCACGCATTATAGGGGCCAACAGGGCACGCGAAGCATCTCTAACAGCTATGCCAATTTCTGCAGAGCAAGCTGAGAGGTGGGGTTTGGTTAACCATGTTGTGGAAGAAGGTGAAGTTTTGAGGAAAGCCCAAGAAGTTGCAGAGGCCATTGTGAAAAAAAATCAAGACTTGGTGTTGAGATACAAGGCTGTTATTAATGATGGCCTGAAGTTGGACCTGGGTCATGCCCTTTCTTTAGAAAAGGTAGTTAATTGTTCACTGTTCTGAGTCTAGCATCATATGATAAAACAATGGAGCATTTCATTTTTGCGATTTAGGTTGCTGTTCTAAGACTGCATATTTTTCGGTCTGCCATTTTCTTTGCTATTAATTTCCTAGACTAGAAGGTGAATAAAATGAGGAGAAAAAGAAACATAAGGATGGCCTTTACTAAACAACCCCCTCTTAACTCGTTGTAAACTGTACTTGTATTCTTTTATGAGATTCTACCGTTGATGTAGTGTTAATGAAATATGTTAGCGTCACACTAGAAGTCAATTGGAACCATAGCAAAGTCATTTCTGTTCATCTGCTTCTTGATGGAACTTGCTCCAATCTCTCATTTTGACACGTACTCTGTCATATAAATGTAGATCTTTCATTTCTCTTAGCTGAGGGATTTTCCAAAAGTGTTATAAGCATATAATACTTCTCTCCTGAATTGTTTGTTTTCCGGTTACTTGCTTATGTTTTACCTAATTTCGTGTTCCAGCGAACTCCCTTTGTTATGGTTTTGCATAAATGGGCTTGTTTTTACCGTCAACTACATCCTTATGTTTTGCTAACAAATATTTTCTATCCCTGATTGCAAAATGGTTTGTTTCAGGAGAGGGCTCACGCATATTACAGTGGCATGAGTAAGGACCAGTTTCAGAAGATGCAGGAATTCATAGCTGGTCGGAGCTCCAAGAAACCTTCGAAGCTGTAACTTTCTAAATCGCCAAATTGTTCTGTTATTCTAAAAACCAACACGTTTTGTTCCTTAAAGGTGGGAAATCTGAGATCAATAAAATTATTTCATGTATAACCTGATTGGGTGGTTTGGATTTGGTAGACCTCTCTATTTGTTGAAACTGAAGAGCTAAAATTACAGAACGAAACCAATATTATAAAAATTAAATATTGATAAATGAAATTTAAAAAAGAAATTATATAAGGATCTAAAAAAAATCAAAATAGCAATATTCATGTTAATCTTTGAAATTCATGGCTTAATTAAAAAAAACATTAAATTGAAAAAAAAAATACAATAAAAAAATTCCAAAACAAAATAATCATCAATAAAAAAATAAGATTTAAATTTGGAATGACTTATTAAATTTGAAATGAAAAAAATTGAAATTATGAGAAATGAAATTGAAATAAAATTTAATTAGTGAAGGGATTAAAAATATTTAAAAAATAAAAAATAAATTTGATATAAAAAACCAAATAAAACTCAATGATTGGGAATGAAATTGAAAAAAAAAATTAAAAATAAAATAAATAAAAATAAAAACTAAATTGGATATGAAATATAAATGATAGAACACATTTATATTGTAGCCATGTACCTTTTTTTTGTATATATTTTATATTTATAAAAAAACTTAAATATTCATGAGTCAGCTTTATAACAATAAAAAAATCAAAATATTAAGATGAAAAGGCTCCTTAAAGTAAATTTTTATTTTGTTTTTTTATGATAGTTTAGTAATTTAATTGTGTTAAGCAAAAAAAATTTAGATACAAGTTAATATTTAAAAAAAAACTAATTAGGTTATTATACTTTTATAAAGGAAGTCAGAAGTTAGTTTTGTTCTTGATGACTAATATATCCTTATAAAAAAAAATTAAATCACCACTCAATGTATAGGTCAGTGACTTTTTTTTTTTGTAGGGACAAAGTGGGGAAGTTACTGTTAATTAATAATGATAGTTTTAATCGGAGGGATTGTAGTTCAGAACTTGTTCGGTTGATGATAGTTCTGTCTTCCGTGGGGAGTTTTTTTTTTTTTTTTTAGATTAACGTGGATGTCCGGTCAGCTTGCGCGTATCACGACTAATCCCACGGGCCCTGAAGTTAACAACCATGTAAGCCTCCAGTGGCTATCATATGAGCAACCAAGAACTCGAACTTGAGACCACAGAGGAAGCAAACCTCTTGTTGGAGTGGGAAGTTTGTTTCTTGTATGTTACATGGAGTAATTTGTGCATGTCGTTTTAGCTAAATACAGTGATTTGCTCTTATGTTTGCATCGTTTATTCAAATTGATCCCTATAAAATAAATCTGATCAATCAAACCCTTATGCTCTTAGATTTTGGCCAGTTCATCCCCTCACTCCAACAATTGGTAGAATACACTACCATTTAAGAGGATAAGGCATACAGTCGGTTTGATTGGATTAATGCCAACGTATTGTTGCGTGTCTTTGATGATTCGGCTTGAAGCGAGATTTTCTTCGAAGAAGAAGAAGCTCGGGGGCAGAAAGGTAACACCACATATTTCTAATAAGAGATTTCATAAATACACTTATTAGAGCTCGGTTGGAAGTAGGGAGCTTGATTGACAATTGTTTTTTTTTTTTTCAAAAAAGACTTGAATAAATTAAAAACTATGAAGACAGTCCGTTACCGTCACTTCACAGAAGGAACGCGTCTCTGGCATCAATCCATGGTTGCTTTGTACTGTATGGCACATGCAGGAATAACGTGGACGGTCAGTCCAGTCAGAATTAGCTTGCCCTCCATCCTGGGAAATTTGGATGTTCCCGAAAATAAAATAAAACAGAATATTGCTATTTTTTCGAGGATAAGGCCTTATCGCACGGTTAGTTGCCAGTCACCATCGAACAATTCTTTCGCTACTTGAACAAAACGTCGCGATCATATCATCTTCAATGAGGATCCTGGGAAATTTGGATGTTCCCGAAAATAAAATAAAACTTGGATGTTGCATGTGAATCTTACTTGGCGTTCATGCTCAAGGGCTACTGGGTGTCTTCAGTAACGTATTAGAAGGTATTTTTTTTAATTAAAAGTATATTTTTTAAAAAGAACTTAAAAATATGATATCGATGCAATGCGAATCTAAGTGTTTTCACTATTATTAAATAGCGTGATCGTGCTGAAAGGGATACTACATTGAACAGAAGCTTGTACTATAAAATATATAGGATTGCGGGGCCGTAAATCAACCAGACCAGCCACGTGTGCTTTAAGGGCCCTTCACAAGTGGAACCCATCACGCTCAGCTGCTGCTCGATCGCTGCTTTTTCACTTGGCACCCGATGGGTCCAACATCACATAGCCCACCCGGGATTTAAGGCATTTTGCGTAAAGCCTTTTAAACTTGCATCGGTTTTGCAGTGTTAATTTTTTCGGAGAAATTTAATTTATTTGTTTATTTTGGAAAACGAAAATAATGGAGAATAAGATTAGTCGGACTCGGATCTGCCCGCAGCCTGGCTAATAAATCACGTTTTAAGAGAGCCCGAAGTGCCTAGCCCGCAAATCCAGCTTTCCTTTCGATGATGCTCAAATCACCGTCCAATTCCATTTCGCATCATGGACCCACTAATGCCTCGCGGTACATCATTAATTCTATTCGTATTCTACCAAACAATAAAAAACACAAAACCTATCTCCCCCCGCAGCTCGTCTTCTTATCAAAATGGCTCTCTCTTTACCCTCTCTAGAACCCCAGCAACAGCAACAGCAAACCACCACCAATCGTGAGATCCAAGAGATCGACATTTTTCATCGATTCGACGTCGTATCTGACTCATCAGACCACCACTACCTTCACATCAAAAACAGCAGCAGCAAAAAAACCAAAGGTGAGGGAGATTCTTTAACAAATATCTCAAGCGGGGCTTCCAAGAAGATTATGCAGGAATGGAAAATCCTCGAAAAACACCTCCCTGATTCAATCTATGTTCGTGTGTACGAGAATCGAATCGATCTCTTAAGGGCAGTAATCATAGGAGCCGCAGGTACACCATACCATGATGGACTTTACTTCTTTGACATTGCTTTCCCACCGGATTACCCGGTCCAACCCCCATTGGTTTACTACAGATCATTCGGGTTAAGAATCAACCCGAATTTATACGCCAATGGGCGGGTTTGCTTAAGTCTATTAAACACTTGGCCTGGTAAAAAAAAAGAGAAATGGAATTCAAGTGAATCCACAGTACTTCAAGTCCTGGTCTCCTTGCAGGCCCTTGTTTTGAACGAGAAACCTTATTATAACGAACCGGGTAGTGGGATGTTACCGGGTCGGGTCATATGGGAGAAGAAATCTAATGCATATAGTGAGAATGTTTTCTTCTTGTCTTGCAAGACAATGTTGTTTTTATTACGTAGGCCACCAAAGAATTTTGATGGTTTTGTTGCTAGTCATTTTAGAGAGAAGGCAAGTGTTATCTTATCAGCTTGTAATGCCTATATTAATGGTCAGGTTAGAGTCGGGCTTTATAGAAACGATGGGTCATGTTCAAGTTGTAAATCATCGTCGCCTGTTCATGTCTCAGAGAAATTTAAAGGGTTGATGGGTCAACTATATCCACAGCTGGTTTCGGGTTTCAAGAGAAATGGAGCTTCTTTGGGGGATTTTCTGGAGCAGGTAAAGCAGCCGGTCGAGAAGAAAACGCCGTCGTTTAAATGGAAAACAGTCAGGATGTTTTTTGGGAAACTAAAGAAAGTTTTGGCGTTAAAGAAGGAGAATAGCAGTGGCCAAAGTGGGGTCCAAGGGAAGGGGTCTTGACGGAGGTGAAAGCGACCGCGGCGGAATTTTTAATTTTGCTTTATTAAGTTACTATAGAATTTTTTACAATTTTTGATGATGACGAGGATGGCTACTATTATAAGATTTTGAATCTTATGCTGTATGCTGTTAACATGGAAATATTATAGTTTTTTTCATTAGAAGATAAATAAAGTTTAAATCTGTTTGTTGCGTGAAGGATAGGATTTGTAGGGAATTTGTATCTTATTTGCTACATTCTTCTTTTTTTTTTCCCTTGCGTGTTGTGTTGTGTGTGTTTTTTTCTCTTCTAATAGTAATGTTTTTTTTTTATAGTATAACTATCAATGTTTAAATATTAATTGGTAGTCAAATTTTTTAAAAAAATTATAAATTTATCGTAAATTCCAGGAAAATTTCACACAATTTTTTTTTAAAAATAATATTTAAAATATTTTTCTCTCCATTTTATAAATAAAATATATTTTTTATAAGAATTAGTAGTATGTAACATATAAAAATTATTTTTTTATTTTATCTTGTAAGATTTTGTTTGGCATAACTTTTATTTCTCTAGAAAACTATCAAAATAAATTTAAATATATGTTTCTTAAACAGTTTTAGGTAAAAAAAATTCATAACAAAAAATTATTAAAACAAATAAAGTTTTAAGTACTTAATCCAAAAACAAAATTAAATGAATTGTTTTAAAGATATTGATTCAATCATGAATCTTAGATTATTACTATGAAAATATTATAGTTTTTTTATTAAAAGATAAATAAAGTTTAAACCTGGTTATTATGTAAAGGATACAATTTGTCTAAAGTTTGTTTATTATTTGTTATATTCTTATTACTCTTTGTGTATTGTGTTGTGTTGTGTTTTTTTTTTTTAATGGTAAAGTTTACCTTATATCAGTTAATCTGACTTTGCTGATATAGAAATTTTCTAGTGTAATTCTCAGTATTTAAATATTAATTGGTAGTTAAATTCTTTAAAAAATATATAAATTTATTGTAAATTCCAAAAAAAATACACACATAAATTTTCTAAAATAATACTAAAAATATTTTTCTCTCCATTTTATAAATAAAATATAATTTTTATAAGGATTGGTGGTATCTAACAAGTAAAAGTCATTTTTTTCTTTTTTATTATTTATTTCTGTAAGATTTTGATTAGGAAAACTTTTTTTTCTCTATAAAACTATCAAAATAAACTTAAGAATATGTTTCATAAATAGCCTCTCATGTAAAAGAAATCATTAACAAAAAGTTGTCCAAACAAACAAAATTTTAAGTACTTAATCCAAAACAAAATTAAATAGATCAATCTAAAGATATTGATTCAACCATAAATCTTAGGTTGTTAACATGAAAATATTATAGTTTTTTTATTAGAAGATAAACAAAGTTTAAACCTGGTTGTTGCGTGAAGGATATAACTTGTCAGGACTTTGTTTCTTGTTTGTTACATTCTTATATTTTCTTGTGTATTGTGTTGTATAGTGTTTTTTTTTTTTTAATGTCAATGTTTATATTATATTAGTTGATTTGACTTTGTTAATGTAGGAATTTTCTACTGTAACTTTCGGTATTTAAATATAAATTGGTAGTTAAAATTTTTTTAAAAATTATAAATTTATTGTAAATTAAAAAAACACAGAAAAATTTTCTTAAATAATGCTAAAAATATTTTTTCTCTTTATTTTATAAATAAAATATAATTTTTGTAAGGATTAGTAGTATGTAACAAGTAAAAATTATTTTTATTAATTTTTTATTATATATTTCTCTAAGATTTTGTTTGGAAAAACTTTTTTTTTCTCTAGAAAAGTGTCAAAATAAACTTAAAAATATGTTTAATAAAAAGCCTCTCAAGTAAAAGAAATCCTTGACAAAAAGTTGCCCAAACAAACAAGGTTTTTAAGTACTTAAATCAAAACAAAATTCAATGAATCGACATAAAGATATTGATTCGACCATGAATTTTATACTGGTAACATAGAAATATTATAGCTTTTTATTAGAAAATAAATAAAGTTTAGACCTAGTTGTTGCATAAAAGATATAATTTATCAAGAGTTTGCTTCTTATTTGTTACATTCTTATTTCTTCTTACATGTAGTGTTGTGTTGTGTTTCTCTCTTTTTTAATGACAATATTTACACTATATTAGTTAATCTGACTTTGCTAATGTAGGAATTTTCTAGCGTAACTCTTATTATTTGAATATTAATTGGTAGTCAAATTCTTTAAAAAATATATAAATTTATTGTAAATTCCAAAAGAAAAAACACAAAAAACTTCTAAAATAATGCTAAAAATATTTTTCTCTCCATTTTATAAATAAAATATAATTTTTATAAGAATTACTAGTATGCAACAAGTAAAAAAAAAATATTATTTATTTCTGCAAGATTTTGTTTGACAAAACTTTTTCTCTTTCTCTAGAAAACTATCAAAATAAACTTAATGATATGTTTTCTAAACAACCTTTTAGATAAAAGAAATCCTCAACAAAAAATTGTTCAAACAAACAAAGTTTTAAGTATTTGACGCAAAATAAAATTAAATGGATCCACCTAAAAATATTAATTCAACTATAAACCAAACTAAAATCTAATTCAAAAACTAAACCAAAACAAAGATTTCAACGGAAACAAAAACAAAGTTTAAAATTTACATAAAATATAATTTTATAGAAAAATAAATTAAACACTTAACTCAAATAATAAAAAGCTCAAAAACATTCATAAAAAACACCAAATAAAAATCTCAATCTAAATAGGTTTCATGTAATTAAGAGCAAGGTTTATTTGAAGATCATGCAAACATACATGATCTAACATCTTTTTATTGCTAGATAGCTCAGTTTTTCTACTGGTAGATAGTTCAGTCTTTCTACTCCTATCCAACATTATCTGATGATATTAGCCTGGATATTGATTTGCACCCGTACTTTTCAGGGCACCATACAGACCCTTGGCAATTAAATATTCTGATTATCTAGTATACAACATTCAGCAGAAAGAACTATGTTTTAAGAAGCACAAACTTTGAGAAATGATGTTACATGTTCATGAAACATATGCATATATGATTCTCTTTGTTTGAAATTATCTTATTCAAGATTTTGAGGAGGGTCTTGCCATTAAAGAGTGGGTTTTTAAAGAGGTGATTTGATAAGGACACCGAACTAGAAATATTGTTTATGCACGTGTGTAATCATAGATGATGGAAGATATCTCAAACCATTGAGAAATTAGGCTTTAACTTATTTTTTAGGTTTAATTTATATAAATTTTTAGATGAGTTTTATTAATTTAACTTTATTTGTTGAGTTTAATTTAATTATTATTAGGTATTTTATTTAGTGGGTCATAAACCCAATCGCTTATTCTAGTTAGGGTTTTAATATCAATACCCTATTTTTTAAAATATTAAAAAAAAATTAATGACTAATAAAAATATTGTAGTATATCTCTAATCTTTTTTTTTTAAACATGTTTTCTAAAAACTTTTTTTATTTTTATTTTTATTATTTATTATCCCGCGTCACTATCTCTCGTATCTGAATATGTTTTCATCAGGAAGGACGACAAGCTTCTTCAGCAGATCAAAATTGTGGTGGCCGACTTTGTCACTAACATAAACAGGACCACCACATATGGCTCTTGATCCAGCATGAGACTCAGCACAAAGATGACCTGATTGGAACATGTTCCAATCAGGTTGAATGAACTGTCCCTGCCACAGATGAATCATGTGGACTCCTTGTAACCAGTACACTCCCATAGGATATCCATTTGGGTCTTCCAACCAGAAATCATCACCTAAATGAAAATGAACTTATCAATATTAGCCTAGGAAACATATTTGTTTCATATAAAAGATAGAACCCTACATTGCTATCATAACATTGCTCTATCCTCCACAATTTTCAAGTAGCCAAAGCAATTCTTCTGTGGTTTGGGACTTACCAACCCTACCCATGGAAATATGTTCTCGTGCCCAGAAAGAAGAAGTCATTGAATGGCTCCATGCTTGCAATAAGCCCAGACCATTCAAAGTTCTTGTTCGGAGATTGGTTCAACCCATCATGGTGTGCCTTGGCAAGCTTAACTCCGCCACCTTGGTCCTCAGATACATGTTCCAGAACCTGGTGAATATGAAAACAAGGATCAACAAGAGAAGAGATTAATGCTTCCAAAATTGTTGATGCTGTTCCCAAAACATTTTATTACATATATAGAGCCAATTTTTTAAAACTCCGCCTTTTCCTTTAACCGAACTTAGACGTAACATATATAACATCTTTGTGAGGGAAAAAACCATGCACACGATTCTATATGCAACAAAAGATTCCGTTACCCTTTACCATTGTCTCTGTTAGGATTACTTAAATGAGTGTTTATAAAGAGCTTAAAACAGAACCCCATTTAACCACTAACAGAGAGCTTCTGAAAGAAAAACTATAAGGGACACCATGCTAATTAACTACTTGACAGTCTCGAAATGTTTTGTTAAAGAACGAATCAATCAAAAAACACTTTGTTGCTATCAAGAACTTGTTAATTCAAACCAAAAGAACAATGCCGAAATCATTCTAAAACATTTGATAAAAACAACCTACTAAAGTCCGTTAAATCTTTCAAGGAGCACAATCTATCGAATTTAAGAACATTGAAAAACCTGAAGAGGTTAGCATTGAAGAAATGGTGCTTACCTGATAACATACTCCACAGTACATAAGAATGATATGCATTCCATCCTCTGTCTAATAATTTTGGGTGTTGGTGATTTTATAAAAGCAACTAATACAATCAACTGATAATTTACATAATGTGTATGCATGTATCATAATCTTAAAAGAAATAACATGATGCACATACGATGAATGATAGAATATGTCTATTTCGTCGGTAGAATGGTGATGCCGTGATGGTATTAGCGACCCACAAAGATTACTAGAGTTATGCAAATCCTAGAACTCAACTATAAATAGCAATTTTGAGCCTCAAAAGTCAAATCTGTTAACATTGAGGCTGGTGTTAACATGATAAACGAATGTACATTTATGCTTGTGTTATCAGGATAATGATGATGATGTTGACTGTTGACGGTGGAATGGTGTTAAAATGCTGAAAAATGACCAAAGAAAAAAAAAATTGACATGGATAAACAACACTTACATG